ATATATATATATATACACACACACACGCATGTACATATACATAATACACACACACACACACACACACAAACATATGTATGTATGTATGTGTGTACATATGTAGAGGGTGTTCAATAAACCATAAATTCCTATGATATGAAGAAAATCCACCCGCTACAAAGCAAGACAACCTGATTATTTTTTCAAAATAATCCAGCGTGTACGGATCTTTATAAGTTCGATAAATCGCTCGAGTGATTCGTGTTCTGTACCGCGTTGTGTCTATTGTGCATCGAGTACAGAGGAAAATTGTCGGACGAAGAGAAAGAACTGTCTTATTGTCAGCGATAGATTTCCCCATACGCAAAAGAAATCTACAATTTATAAAATACTCTGCATGTTTACATATATATACTTAGGACCCTTATTTACTAGGTTTTTTCCTTTCACATTTCACGATTTCTTTTTTTCTGTTTTTTCTCGTTTTTTTTTTTTATTTCTTTGTTTTGCTTCATTTTAATTAGCGAGTACTTTAATATCTGCAATAATTCTCACGATACCTTTCGTACCGGTAAATCGACTCGAAGAGTATATAGGAAGTTATCAGCATTGTTTCTCTTTCTTTTTTTTTCTTTTCTTTTATAGATCACTACGGACACGGATACATCTTCCGAAAGTGCTAGGGTGCAATGAGAGAAAGCTTTCTTTTCGTTTACCAAGATTACAAAGAAAAGGACAATTACAATTACACATCTCAATAGAGTGTTTTGATAATAAGATGGGGGAGGGGGCGGGAAAAGTGGATGTTAGAGGCAGAAATAATATTGTTGCCTTTTCTATCAACGATCAAACTTTGTCGCAAACGGTTGTTGTTTCGTCGAATGTCTCAAACCGCTAGAATTCATTAGATTCGACTTATATCGCCATCATTTTCATTTCTCTCTTTTCGTTCTCTCTCTCTCTCTCTCTCACTCTCTCTCTCTCTCTCTCTCTCTCGCTCTCGCTGTCTCTCTGTTTGACAAAAGCTAACTCCCAATATCACTGCAGCAAAAGAGAGGATACACGGGAAGTGATTGCGGTAGAGACTAGCAATTGTTGGGATCCGGTGGCGTAACAAGATATTCGTCTGCGCGTTTGTGATCGGACAATGCCCGCATTGTGTACGTGTCTTGGGGTAAGTCGCTTTTCCTTCGCAAAAGTGGCTTTGTTTTATTGGAGTTGGTCATTTTTTTTGCCTATGGCAAAAAAAAATTCATTTTAGAGACACTCCTTAATTAAAGATTAAAACGGACAAGGACGTGAGAAAGATGGCTTGCGATCGGTCATACCTCGTTCGCTTTCGCTTCAATCTTTTCCAACGTGAGCGGCGTTTGATCTGTATCGCCGTCCTCGTCCGGTGGAGGACTGTCTAATTGTTGCTGCGATATCGTGCTGGTTGTCATGCTCGTGACACCTTTTACAGTCACGTTATAATTCGGATGTTTCATCGCCAATGCTTCGACACGCATCCATGCTTCATCCCTGTCTTTCATCAGCTTCCTTTCTCTCTGACGATCCTACGAATATTTTTTAAAATATTATTCCCTCATTCTTGTTCTATTTAATAAGGCTTCACGTACCTGATAATACTGTTGAGTACACTCGTCAAATACTTTTTGATTCATCTCCATGAAAAGCTTCAGCGCGTTGTAAATCAAACCGTGAATAGTTTTGTTCCAATGATTTCGTGAATTTCTGTAGAACGCTGGGTACATGATTGGTAGTATGATTGAATAGTTATCCGATATAAGAGACATTATGTATTCGTTGTTCCAGTAATAAAGAGCTCTTTCAGCCACCTGGAAAAGAATATAATAATATAATTAAAAAATCTTAAATTTATAAAACTACTGTCAATAAAAAAGAAAGGTATTAACGGTACCTGAAAGTGTGGAGATGATACACATTTAGCTAATTGTCTAAACAATGGGTCCATGACCTTCTGAAATTCGGCAGGTTCGATCACATCCAGAATCTCCTCGAGCTCGTTTAGAAACATTACTTCCTTAGGGGAATGTGTTTTGGGCCAGAATTTCAGCAGACTTCTAATAACTGGCTCGGTCAACGATGGATCCTTCTCCAGAAATTGAACCACACAATACGCCAATTGAGGGTGGTACACAGAAAGCGATTTGACTTTGTGCAAAGGTAAAAGCACCTTCAAAAGAAATATTTTGTGCTCCTCTTTCAGTGGCAAGGCAAATCCATTGATTATACTGAAAGAATAAAAAAAATGAATATACATATCCCTCACTCTAACCAACCTTTACACTTTACAATGATTAATTCGAAATTACCTTCCCAAAATCTCTAAAAGTTCAGCGATACCATTATGGTGTTCTGTCTCGTATATAAATCGATAGAAAACATTGTTAATCTGCTTCCTAATATACGCTCTCAGTCCCAAAAACTTCCCATAGATCCTATGAAGCGTAGTCTTCAAGAAATCCCTCTCCCTTGGATCCTCCGAGTCGAACAGCTCCAAAAGTTGTAGCACAAACTTCTGGTCTATGTAACGTCTCGCTATGGACGGTTGGAAATCTTGAGATTCGAGCAATCGTAAAAAGAACTCGTAGACAAGCTGCAAATGAGGCCAGGCTGCTTCCAACGTTGGCTCATCCTCTTCCGGGTCGAATTCCGCTCCATTTGGATTCGACGATGGTGGAAGAGTGCGAAACAAATTCACTGCAAACTGGAGAAGTTCAACTTAAGAGAATTCCAAAGGAAATTAATGTTGTCGTTTCATGGCTGAAAAGGTTAAATTTCGAATCGGAGGGAAATGTCACGTGACAAGGGTGGTATACCTGTCGTGACCCGCAACCCCTCGTCCGTGAAACGTGCCATCGCTCTAACGGACCCCTACCGGCAACGCGTTAAACGGCTGCTCACTCACCATGTTCACCGCTTCAGGGTATATCGCATCCGTGATCACGTTCTTGTTCTTGGTGACGTACTCGACCATCTCGGTGAGGGCGGCACGCTTCACCTCCTTCCATTTCAAGTCCGACAGGGGGTCGGACTCGAAGTCGAACAGCACGCAACATTGTCGTAACTTCTGGATGAACAGTTCCTCTCTCTCGTTTCCTTGTTGCGTTTCTAGGGAGGAAAAAATCAAATATTCGATACATTTGTACAAAGAGAAATAATATTGAAACCTATGACCTGAATAAACCACGTTTCAGATTACTGATACTTTGTGAACTCACATGGGACTCTGTGTTTACCCTCGTTAGAAACACACACATGCGCACACTATACGCACATACACACGCATGCATGCCATACAGATTGTTCCATGGAGTCTGTCCTTTGATTATCCCCCTCTTTCGTACTT